GATTGCCCAACCTTCCTTCCGAGGAGTGGATGGTGGGTTTGAACCGCCTGCCGTCTGGTTAGCAGGCAAGTGTCTTAGCCACTATGCTACCAGAGCTCCCTAAAAGAGCATAGGATCAAAGGGGGAGAAATGCAGAACGATTTCAGATTCTCAGGGACCTGAGGCTTTGTGGAGCCATGGAGGCTAGATGAACTCCTGAAACTATGCCCTGAGATAATCTTTAAATCTTAAACCAGAAATATCCCCTGAAGTCTTCTTAAAACCACATCATAATGTAAGTTAACTAGTAAAAAAATGTATCACCACATTTTGCTTATCCACTCATCTGCTGATGGGCATTTAGGTTGTTTCCACCTCTTGGCTACTGTGAATAGTGTTGCAATGAACACTGGTTTAAGTCTCTGTTTTCAAGTCTTTTGGGCATGTATCTAGGAGTGGAATTGCTGGGCCATATGGTAGTTCTAGTTTTAGATTTCTGAGGAACTGCCACACTGTTTTCCACAATGGCTGCTCCACTTTACAATTACACCAACAATAGACAAGGATTCTAATTTCCCCACATGCTCACCAAAATTTATTTTTATTTTTTAATTTAGCCATCCTAATGGGAGTGAAATGGTACCTCATTGTAGTTTTGATTGCTAGTCTCTGATGGCCAATGACACCGAACTTCTTTTTATCTGTTTGGTGGCTGTTTGAATATTCTCTTTGGTGAACTGTCTATTCAAATTCTTTGCCCATTGTATGATAGGATTATTTGTCTTTCTGTTGTTAGATGTTCTAAGTTTTATAGATATATTATTAGATTCTTGTGGGACATACGGTTTCTGAAGATATCCTCCCAGTCAGTAATTTGTCTTTTCACTTTTTTGGTGAAGTCTTTTTTTTTTTTTTTTTTTAAAGTTTTATTGTGATTTGGGTGAAAGTTTACAGAGCAAATTCATTTCCCACACAGCAATTCTTAATACATTTTGTTTCATGCCATTTGCTATAATTTCCTACAATGTAACAGCTCTCTTCCCACTTCCTCCCTGTAGCTATCTCTTGCCTGTATCCTTGTTTCCTACACATTCTTGCCCCCTAAACTATCTCCCTGTGCAAATACTGCCCTTCTGATCTTCCATGCTTGATCATTCTAAGGATTCTATCTGCCTGATATAAATGTTTACCCTATATGCCTACTGTTT